CAGCATTTTGGGAGGCTGAGGCAGGCGGATCACAGGGTCAGGAGATCGAGACCATCCTGGCTAACATGGTGAAACCCCATCTCTACTAAAAATAAAAAAAATTAGCCGGGCATGGTGGTGGGCACCTGTAGTCCCAGCTACTCGGGAGGCTGAAGCAGGAGAATGGTGTGAACCCGGGAGGTGGAGCTTGCAGTGAGCTGAGATTGGGCCACTGCACTTCAGCCTGGGCAACAGAGCAAGACTCCATCTTGGGAAAAAAAAAAAATCTAATCTAACTGTGTTACAAATGTATGAAACAACCTCTTTGAAGGGGTTTGAGGGAAAAGGGTGCTGACCTCAGCCACTTTGGAAATGAGTAGAGTCTGTAAGACCAAAGTCAAAAGACCTGCATACAAGTACTGTACTATAGGTGATAAAGTTGTCTCCACAAGTGTATGGCTTCACAATTCTGAAATCACTATACATGTATACTGGAAATGGAAGATTAAGTCACAGGATGGCAGATGGTGGGATTCTGGGTTCTCACTTTTGAAGTAGAAGGTTACAGATAAACAAGGGGAGATAACTAGGATGATTCTGGGAATGGATGAGAGTGGTAAGACATCAGAATGAACTCATGCCTAGCTTACAGATACACACACACACACAACACAAATGTGTATATATGCATAAACATTTATAAATATGTGTATATAGAAGGTTAGTATTCACCCATATATTTATTTGCTCTGTCAGCTGAGAAGGCCTAGAAACAATGACATCCCACTAGCAATGACTGCACCTAGTGCCGAGAGTTTCTTGGTTTCTAATACTATTTTCCAAAAAAGGAACCAGAGATCCTTGGAGAAATAGCTGATTCTAGGTCTAGGGCATCTTGTGACAGAAAGTAAAGAAGTACTTAGCAAAACACAACAATGGGAGTATGTCAAAAGGACACCATAGCCACCCGAAAGAGCTCTCAATGGCCAAAGTAGGAACAATCTGAGAAACAAAATAAAGCAGTATGAGATTATAACCCAAAGTATAAAATAAATATCCATGGGTTCACACTGACATATTTTTCATTTTATTTATTTGTTTTTGAGACAGGTCTCGCTCTGTCACCCAGGCTGCGGTGCAGTGGCTCACTGCAGCCTTGACTTCTTGGGCTCAAGCGATCCTCCTGCCTCAGCCTCCCAAGTACCTGGGACCACAGGTGCATGCCACCATCACCCAGCTAAATTTTTAATTGATTATTTGTAGAGAGAGGGTCCTGCTGTGTTGCCCAGGCCCATCCTGAACTCCTGGGCTCAAGTGATCCATCCATCTTGGCCTCCCAAAGTGCTGTGCTGGAACTATAGACATAAGCCACCGTACCTGGCCTGACACAAATAAGTGATTGAATAAATAACAGGGGAGGAGAAGCAAACTTCCGTGCAGAATTCCAGACAGTTTCTGTAGAGACCCTGCAGTCAAGGAAGTGCAGCAGAATTCCTCACTCCTTAAATTTGGCCTAGGAATAGTGACTTCATCCCAAAGAGTACAGTATGGAAAGAGAGAAAAAAAGAGTAAGTTTAGGCTGGGTGTGGTGGCTCACGCCTGTAATCCCAGCACTTTGGGAGGCCGAGACAGGCGGATCACGTCAGGAGATCGAGACCATCCTGGCTAACACGGTGAAACCCCGTTTATACTAAAAATACAAAAAAAAAAAATTAGCTGGGCGTAGTGGCAGGCGCCTGTAGTCCCAGCTACTTGGGAGGCTGAGGCAGGAAAATAGCGTGAACCCGGGAGGCAGAGCTTGCAGTGAGCCGAGATCACGCCACTGCACTCTAGCCTGAGCCACTGAGCGAGACTCTGTCTCAAAAAAAAAAAAAAAAAAAAAAAAGAGTAAATTTACAATGGAGAAACCTGACAAAAACTACCTAGATTTCCAAAGCCTGATTTTTTAATCATGGTTGCAATCCTAACGTGGAAAGTTTTACCTGTGTGGCACTGTCAGATCAAGAAATAAGAAATGCCAGGTGAACAAGATGAACACCAACAGGGATAGTTCAAGTTGATAACATGTACCCTTGATATGATTCCATGAGAATGACACTTTACCTATGTGGTCTTCCTTCCCCAAATCCATAACCTGAGTCTAATCATGAGAAAAACATCAGACAAATCCCAACTGAGGGACATTCTACAAAATATCTGTCTGGTACTCCTCAAATTGTTGAGGTCATCAAAAACAAGGAAAGTCTTAGAATCTATCACAGCCGAGAGAAGCCTAAGGAGACACACAGACTGAATGTCAGGGCGGCTTCTAGGTGTGCTTGCTGTTCCTGGGATAGAACGCTAAGGTGGGGTGGGGGCACCAATAGATACCTATGCACAGCTTAGGAAGCATCTCCATGAGTGCAGCTATGACTCTCACCAATATTCCTGGCCCTCTGTGATGTCAGGGCCTCCATTTCTTGATCTGACTGCACAACACAGATAAAACATTCCAGGTTGGGATTGCACCCGTGGTTAGGAAACTAGACTTTTGAAACAGACTTGAATTGACATCCTACTCTGCCATTTCATTTGTTACTTTGGGAGGATTACCAAAACCTCTCTGTGCCCCTTTTCTCATCATCTCTAACGTAGGGATTATAATTGTAACCACTAATAACTGGCTCATTTTTCTTTTTACTTTTTGTTTGCAAAGGACAAATAATGTAGGGTGCTTGGCCTAGTACCTAGCACTTAGCACTCAGTAAATGTTAGCCATTTACTATTGTATACTGTGTAATTCATTTAGTGTATATATTTTCTTTTCTTGTTGTTTTCTTTTGTTTGTGTATTTGTTTTTGAGACGGAGTCTTGCTTAGTCGCCCAGGCTAGAGTGCAGTGGTGTGATCTCAGCTCACTGCAACTTCTGCCTCTGAGGCTTAAGGGATCCTCCCACCTCAGCCTCCCCAGTAGCTGGGATTACAGGTGCTCACCACCATGCCCGGATCATTTTTGTATTTTTACTAGAGACGGGGTTTCACCACGTTGGCCAGGCTGGTCTGGAACTCCTGACCTCAGGTGATTCACCTGCCACAGCCTCCCGAAGTGCTGGGATTACAGGCGTGAGCCACTATGCCTGGATGTGTTGTTGTTGTTGTCGTTGTTGTTGTTGTTGTTTTTGATGGAGTTTCACTCTTGTTGCCCAGGCTGGAGTGCAATGGCAAGATCTCAGCTCACCGCATCCTCCGCCTCCTGGGTTCAAGCGAGTCTCCTGGCTCAGCTTCCCAAGTAGCTGGGATTACAGGCATGTGCCACCATGCTGGGCTAACTTTGTATTTTTAGTAGAGACGGGGTTTCTCCATGTTGGTCAGGCTGGTCTTGAACTCCCAGCCTCAGGTGATCTGCCCACCTAGGCCTCTCAAAGTGCTGGGATTACAGGCATGAGCCACTATGCCCAGACCTGGCTGTTTTTTTGACAGAATTTTATTTAGGAAAATTGTTTTCCTTCATTCCCCTGGTGCAAAAGAAAAAGAAAGAGAAAAAGGAAGAAAGAAGGAAGGAAGGAAGGAAAAGAGAAAGAAAAGAAAGAGAAAGAAAAAGAAAGAGAGAGAAAAAGAAAGAAAGAGAAAGAAAGAAGAAAGAGAAAGAAAGAAAGAAAGAAAGAAAGAAAGAAAGAAAGAAAGAAAGAAAGAAAGAAAGAAAGAAAGAAAGAAAGAAAGAAAGAAAGAAAGAAAGAAGGAAGGAAGGAAAGAAGGAAAGAAAGAAATTGTTAATTAGGTGTTGGAAAACTGAAAGACAAAAGGGGCTCAACCATTGGAGGTACTCACTACAGGCAGCAGCTATCACACTATATGGAAAATCCAAATGAGAGGCTGAGTTTAAAAACAGTTTTTCAGTTGGTCGGGCTCGGTGGCTCATGCTTGTAAACTCAGCACTCTGGAAGGCAGAGGCAGTTGGATCGCTTGAATCCAGAAGACATGGCAAAACCCGGTTATCTACCAAAAAATACCAAAATTAGCCGGCTTGGTGGCGCATGCCTGTAATCCCAGCTACTCTGGAGAGTGAGGCAGGAGAATCGCTTGAACACGGAGGCGGAGGTTGCAGTGAGCCGAGATCGCGCCACGGCACTCCAGCCTGGGTGACAAGGCGAGACCCGGTCTCTAATCAACAACAATAATAATAAAATTAACAGTTTTATTGAGTATAATTTACATGCCATAAAATTCACCCACTGAAAGTGTACATTTCCTTCACTTCACCTTACAGGGTCTTACTCAGTCGCCCAGGCTGGGATGCAGTGGCGCCGTATTAGCTCATTGCAACCTCTGCCTCCCGGGGTCAGGTGATCCTCCTACCTCAGCCTCCCGAGTAGCGGGACTACAGGTGTGCACCACCACACCCAGCTAATTTTTCTTTTTTTTCTTTTTTCCTTTCTTTCTCTCCCTCCCTTCTTCGCCCTTCCTCCATTTTTTTTTTTTGTAGAGACGGTGTCTCCCCTTGTGGCCAGGTTGGTCACAACTCCTGAACTCAAGCTCTCTGCCCGCCTCGACCTCCCAAAATGCTGGGATTACAGGCGTGAGCCACTGCGTCCAGCCACACTTCCATGACTTTTTAATAAACTTACACAGTTGTGCAATTGTCACCACAATCCACTTTTACAACATTTCTATTACCGCTTTCCTCCAGTTTTTTCAAGCCCTCCCCGCTCCCACACCTCGCCCCAGGTAACTGTGCTCTGTGTCTTTGTAGATTTGCCTAGTGTAATCTATTTTTTACTTCGGTAATATAAGGAGGTCGTGCAAAATAGAGACTATTTAGGAACAGACTAGGCAGACTTAAATCTGATGGAAAGTTTAAAGTTGTTTAAAAGTGGGCTATAGTTTTACATGATTTTTTTTAAAAAGAGGAAAGGTGAGGCGATGTTAAAGTCTGGGGCGGCTAGGACTGAGGTGATGGTTCTGGAGGGGGCGAGGGAAGTTGTGAGGCAGAGAGCCCTCGCGTCACGCCCGCCCCGCCCAGGGCCGGATTGGCTCCTAACTCACCCTCTTTGCCCCAGGGCGGCCGCCGTCTCTTGCGCAGGCGCAGTGCTCCTGCTTCCTGGCCGAGGGCGGGCGAGCGGAGCCTGCATTCGCAGCGATCGCGAGCGTGTGGTGATTGCTTCTGTCTGTTGTTTAGATATGGAAGCTGAGAGGATGCACAGAGGCAGCCAGAGCCGGGGTCGGGGTCTCGCTCAGTGCTGACCGCCCCCAGGGTCGAGTAGGCGATGGGGGAGCCCGGCTTCTTCGTCACAGGAGACCGCGCCGGTGGCCGGAGCTGGTGCCTGCGGCGGGTGGGGATGAGCGCCGGGTGGCTGCTGCTGGAAGATGGGCGCGAGGTACGGGGGAAGGGGTCCTGTGGGGCGGAGGGCAGGGGCTGGAGGGAGCGGGGCTCGGGGAGGGAGGAAGGTGTCTTGCTGCGCTGAATGAATGGCAGAGAGGAGGCGGGCACCAGGAAGAGGAGCGAAGTGTCTGTGGGGGGTGGATTCCTGAGAAGGGAGAAAGCGGTTCTGGCGCGAGCGACTGAAGGGTCTGCGGTGGGAGGTGTTTGGGGGAGAAATAGGGGCCGAATGAGAGAAAGAAAAGAGAGTTCGGCTCTGGGGAGCCATGGGGGGCCACAAGGGTTGGGGTGAGGACGGAGGCCCTGGCCCGCGGCCTGTGGGGCGAGAAGCTGGCCCCGTCCAGAGAGGCCTGGGCCAGCGGGTAGCGGGGCCGGGAAGGAGAGGGACGCGCAGAGAATGTGAGGAGACGCGGGGGTGTCGAGGAGGGGAGGGCGGGGGCTGGCCAGATCCCGTTTAGGGCGCACGGAGCCCCGCGGTGCCCAGGTCGGGGAACGGTGGCGGGGTCCGCGAGCCGCAGGGAAGCCGAGGCGGGGCCCGGCGCGTGAACTTCCTCGAGTTTGTTTTGAAAACGATTCAAGTTTTGGGCTTTGTCCCTTAAAGCAATCAAACTTTCACGTAGAAATATCTTCCTCCTTCCCAACTCTGAGGAACATGGGCGACTTGGGCTGGGCCACATTTCTCCCGTGAGGCTCGGTACGGCCGAGTGGCACTCCCTGAGGTGGGTCGGGCAGGGATTCATAGTTCTCTCCAGAGGCTGCCTGCCGTCTTTATTAATGCAGTTGCAAATGAAAACATTTTTAAGGGGGAAGATGCACCAGCGTGGTGTATCTTGAAAGGGCGAGGGAGGGGAGGAGGGAGTTAGATTGCAATCAGGTTGAGAAGGAGAACTGGGTCAGGGACAAGCTTGTCATGACTGGGAACCACCTGGGTTTTGGAAATAATCTGTATGAAAAGTTCTTTTTGCAGTAAAAGTGGATGGTTGGTCATGATGTTGTAAATTCAGTAAGTCTTTTAAGTCTTAATGTATGTTCGGGTAGATTTTTCCTATAAGCCGTACCGCCTCAATTCAGTCTGCCAGGTATTTACTGAGTATTTAACATTGCTTGGTGTACAATGAGGACAAATAAAATTTCTGCGCTCGAAGAGTTTAAGGCTTGAGTGGGGAGAGAGGATTTATATAATGAAGCAGTCTAAGAATATCCATATGGGCTGTATGATCAAGTGCCAAGATGTGGATTATTTAATTCCATCCCAGAGCAGTAGTTCTTCAAGTCAGAGGAGGAATTCATGTCCAGGCTCAAATTTTGCTCGATTAGGGGGTGTTATAAAGGGTTACTTGTGTGCTGTGATTTGAGGAACACCAAGAAAACATCTCTGCCCCCAAATACGTCTTCTATCCAGGTATTAGTGCCTAAAAGTCCACATTAAGCATTCAGTATTTTAGCTTGATCACTGATCTTTCCCTGCCTGGCCCTTTCCAACAGCATATGTTTGTGAGAAGTTTTAACAAATTAAAACACGAACACCTGAATGATAACCTGAATACTACACACAAAAATAAATTATTTTCGTACATAACTATTAGTTAATTTCACATACATTACTTAATGTGATCCCTGCATACACACAACTTTATAAGGTAACTTAGTGGGCAAGTGTTATTCCTTTAGATTCAATTGTTGTGGATTAATTTATGACTCTTCTGAATAGCTTGGTACTGCAGTCTTGAGCAGGTGGGATGGGGAGGAAGAATTAAAGCACCTGTAGGAAGGGCAGGAAGACTCCAAAGCACTCTTAGACATATTCTAAACCATTTGATAGTTCTTTGTGGGGCCACTTCCATGGGGAGGGACCCGTGCAAACCGAGTGAATGGTAAAGACGCAGTGGTAAGACTGTGGCTGGCTTCAGGGACCTGTGTGTAGGAGAAGCCTGCCAGGCTTGGCTGCCTGCAAGGTCAGGTCATAGCATAGCCTGAAAAGAAGTCTGAATCAGAGGCAAGAGAAGAAGTTGTACTTGTTGTAATGTCCCCACATCATAGCACAAGCTGTTTTGCACAAGATTTTAAGAGGTATGCTAATAACATTATAACAGCAAAGGTAGATCAGCTCCCTGCCTTTCCAGTTCTTAGTCTCAGATGTTGTGGATAAAATAATAAAACAGAGTTCCTTTCATTTCATTAATGGGAATACTGTAGTAAATTGTCTAAATAAGTGGCTTTAAGCTTGTTAAAGCAATGCATAGAGTTTGGTGGAAAAACAAGTAGAGATTTATTGCAAATTAGCTAGTTCTCAGGTACTATAAAGTATCTAGGCCTTTGGGGAAAACAACAGAACCTTCTCTTCCCTTTTCTTCACTTGTATTTAGTTTTCATTAAATTTTCTGCCCCAAGGGAAAAAAGGGAAAGGATGGTTATATTTACTGGTTTGGGGGCTTTTGTTGTGGGGTGTTTTGTTTTGTTTTGAGACAGAGTACTCCCTGTGTCACCCAGGCTGGAGTGCAGTGGTGTGATCACACCTCCATCTCCCCAGTTCAAGCCATTCTTCTGCCTCAGCCTCCGAAGTAGCTGGGATTACAGATGTCCACCACTATGCCCATTTAATTTTTGTATTTTCAGTAGAGACGGGGTTTCGCCATGTTGGCCAGGCTGGTCTCGAACTCCTGGCCTCATGTGATCCGCCCGCCTGGGCTTCCCAAAGTGCTGGGATTACAGGTGTGAGCCACCGTACCTGGCCATATTTACTTGTTATTTGAGAAACAGTAGGAATTGTGCCCAGGAGGAAAGAGATAGTCTTGTGAAGGTGGGCAAGGACAAGATGATCTTTTAGATCAATAATGTGTGTAAGCTCAAATGCTTGCAAAACTATTGTAAATGAAAACAGCCCCTCACATGTGGGTCGGCAGTCAGTTCCCATGGGAAATTTAGTGTTCCATTGAGTGGTCCTGAGATTTCCAGTTAACCTCACTGCACTCTTTAACTATAGTATAGGAGAAATATCAGTAGTACCAAGGTGAATTCTAAGACCAGGCAGTGCAGGGAAGGATATAAAAGAATGATTCCTTTTTCTGGGTTCAGAGTCTGTTGGAGGCAGTTTCAGAAAAAGGCACTCTTCCACTTTTTTGGTACTGTTTTCCCCAGGCTACTCACAATGGCAGTCTGGCTGTCTCCCCTCCAGTATTAGCATGTAATATAAGATGCTTTCTCTCTTAGAGATAAAGCTACCTAAATAGAAATTTTACTGAATATGGATGACAGATAAATATATTCTGTTAAGGGCACAGACGGGAAAAGTAAAATAAGAAAGATAATTTTGGTTTGTGATAAGAGCATCCTAATAACTGAAGAAATACAATGGGAAGCAGACAACCAACTTTAGACAGTGGTGATCAGAGTAGGCTTATGAGTAGCTGAAACATGAAATATAAGGAGCCCATGCAAGATCTGAGAGAAGAGTGTTCTTAGCAGAGGGGCTAAGTGAAAAGACCCTCAGGTATGCTGGCACTTCAGGCAGAGGGGCTTAAGGAACAACAACAACAAAATGTTTGAAGGATTGGAGCAGCTAGTGTTGGCACCATGATATGAGTTAAGACTAAAGAGTAGAGGGGCTCAGGACTTTCAGGGTCTTATAGGCCATGGAAGGAAGTTTGAATGATTGGACAGTTTTAAGAAAAGAAGGAAAATGATCTGATTTAAAATGTTTACATTTCTATTCCAGTTACTATATAAAGTTTATGGGGGGCTAGAGTGGGAACAGAAACAGTAGGAGGCCAGGTGTTTTGGACTAAGGTTGTGGCTGTAGAGATAGAAATGAACAGACTTAGGACATATTTGACTTATAGCCCATAAAATTTACCAGTGATTTCAGTGTGGGGATGAGCGACAGAGATGAATCAAAGATGACTTCTTGGTTATGAGTTGAATAGTTGGTTGGATGGTATTGTCAATACTGAGATGAGAGTTTGTGGGGAGGAATAGATTAGGTCAATATTACACAGTCAAACACAAGTGTTACTTTCCCAGTTCTAGAAATTATCACTGGAGCATATAAATTGCATTAGCTTTCACAGCAGATCTAGTACACTGCCAATGTGTCCTCGAACTTAGGAATGATTACATTTCTTGGTCTCCCCCTCCTCCAAGAAATGCTATGCTAAGTTATGTCTCTTCCGTTCTATACTTGATCGGATGGAAAACCTTGGATTCAAGCGCAGGACCTTAGATTGATTCCTACTAAATTTCATCTTGCTAGTTCAGCCTATCAAACCAACTTGTCAAGACCTTTCTGAATTTTTAATCTGCCACCAGATGAGACATAAGTAACACTTGTGTTTGGCTGTGTAATAGAAATTAAGTTTATTTTTCTTAATATGCCTTCCAAGAATAAAGATAAACCAGCAGTCCTTTCACAGACTCATTAGAATGGCAAAGAGACTCAAACCCATCCCCTGGGAGTTAAGTTGAAGTAACTGGGAGTACAGAGCCAGGAAAAGAAAACTCAGGGTTCACTTTATAGCTGTGACATTGAAAGGGGATTGGAGATTTCCTGATGGTGCCAGGGCAAAGCCAGTGCCAATGGATGGAATTTACAGGGAGAAAGATGCCAAGTCAGAGACATTTTAAAAATTGGAGGGCCTGCCTTACATAAAGTTACTGGCAGTATTTATGAGTTGATGGGATGTGTAGAAAGAATTCCTCCATCTCATGGTCACTGAACCAGATGACCTTTCAAGATCTTGCCAACCCTGAGATACATGGATAACTCTTTTTCAGCTTTCTCTTCTTGTCACAACTGTTTGCCTTTTTC